TAAATATTTTCCTACATAATTAATTTTTACATTTTTAATGGTTGCAACAAATATGCTATAAATATCAAATATATCTCCAGTTATTTCTTTAGTATAAGAAATTTCTAACGCTTTCACTACCACCAAATTTCACTTATTTGTATTTTTAGGTTTCTGGCAATTTAGATTCCTTGTACTTAACAAGGATACTCACGTAAATACCTGCATTACCTAGGTCATAGGGTTTCTAAAAACATGCAGGTTTGAAATAGTGATCAAATTCTAGTCTTCTCAAAGAGATACCATGACGCTCGTTGTTTAGGTTCCTTCGAAGGCTGCTCCAAAGGAACAGCAACATAGAATGAACCAACATATTTACTTAAAAAGACTGTACACAGCATGGCACATCTCTCTGAGTGCTTCACTTTACAATGTGGATTCACTGCCTTCCAGATGAAGTTCAAGGATCATATAACACTGCTATTGACTTTGTTCTTCATGTTTAGACAGCTTCTCCTGTCTGCACTTTTCAGAAACATCATCAATTAGAGTAGGCCCACTTATTATTTACGAAAGTAATATCAACCAGCTTCCCTTTTGGGAGGAAAGGATGGTCCCCAAATACTAAAACTGAACCGTGTAATGTGGAGCGACCAAACAAAAAGCCCAAGGATTCAAGAAATGGTCCAAAACTTATTGATCTAATATTTATTTTGGGGTTTTTTTCCCCCTTCAAACTGGAATTCTTTCCAGAATGACCAAAAAGGAAATTTATCAAAATATCTAAAGGACTTGACCCTTGCATATTGATAAAACTTCACGGTGACTAAATTAAGATATTTCAGAGACCTTGTAGGCTTTCTCAATTCAAAATGCCACTAACTTTGTATATAACTGAAATTATATTACTGACCTTATTTAGCAAACAGCCACCAAAATTACTACTGTTATATTGAGTGTTTATTATGTGTGATGCTCTGTGTTAGGTTTTACATACACTATTTCACTTATTCCACACAATTATCTTAAAAAGTAGGAATATTAAGTCCACTTTATAGATGAAGAAAGAGTCTTGTCTAAGTCTACCCAGCTAGTAAATGACAAGCCAAGGTTCAAATCCAGGACTGTCAGACTCTACATCCAAACTTTTACAATTATACTAGTGTTTAAATAAATAGATAAAAACCAAGTATAAGGAGACAATTAAGACTCTATGGTTATCTATTCTTCAGTTCAACTTGCAGACAATCTAAAACTGCCTTTCATTACTACTCCTTTACTCAAAATTTTTTATTGGGGCCTACCCACTGCCTAACAAGTGTATTTTCCCTAAGCCAACTCATCCATCCCTCATGTCTCAATTTAACTGCTATTTCCTAAGAACTATCTTGACCTTCTCATTTAATTAGGCCTGTCTCTGTTATTATTATTTCGAAGTATTTTTCTTATCCTTTTGGGTTCTTTTCATAATCTGTGTGTTGATTTGTCTAAAGTTTCATTAGGGCAGGGACCATGGGTGGTGTGTTCAGCAATCTACATACATTCTGCTCCTAGCCCTGTATGCACAGAGGCTAGCATTGTATCCCTGTAAAACAGAGGTGCTCTTTTGCTGAATGCATGCATGGAATGAAAGAAATTAAGCCAGACAGTCAAGGACTTCCAAAATCTGGCCCTACAGTATCTTTTCAATCACATTTTGCTACTTTGGATTAATTTACTGTCCCTGTGGTGATCTTTGGCTCCCTGAGACTGTAAATGCTACCTTGTTTTCAAAGTTCAGCTCAAAATCCACCTCCTCTAAGAGCCCTGGCCAAGACATACCTAGCCTCCCTTCTACTTTTACTAGACTCACACAGCACTTGCTCACCGTACTGCTAGCCCAGCCTCTACCATAAACTGCTTTGCGGATTAACTGACTACTCCTGCAGGTAGGTCTCTGGTCTCCAGCTAGACCGGCATTGTGCAATAGTTGTCACTAGGCATATGTGGCTACTGTGTATAAATCAATTAAAATTAAATAAAATTTAAAATTCAGTTCCTCATTCAGTGGCCACATTTCAAGCACTCAACAGCTACATATGGCTAGTGGCTATCATGTTGAATAGGACAGATAGAGAACATTTTCATTATCACAGATATTTCTGTGCCTTACGTACAAGAACTGTATTTTATACTTCTTCCTATTCCATTCTGTGAAGATGGTACCTACAGCACTTCATAAACAGTGAGAGTTTAGTAAATATTTAACAGAGTAATAAAAAATAACTTGCTGGATAAGAGAACTTTGACATGGCCCTAATTGCACTGTAAACAGTTGTCTTCCACAACAGCAATTTAAGGTCCATACATTAAGCTAGTGCCCATCTCTGGGTTAAGCCTTCAGTTGTTTTTCCAATAGTAAACTCTAGCAATCAACAATACAAACAACATTTGTATGGTATTTTTCAGTCTTTAATGTACTTCACATTCATCATTTAGTTGGCCAGTATTTTCTGAGGAATACAGGGATTCAGGTTACATCTAACATTTACCTAGCAGCAACTAAGTGCCAGACACTGTATAAGATGATTTTCCTGTGTTCTCATCAGCCTGTATCAAGAGGAAATTGAGGCTGAGAGAGGGTAACAAAATCCACATCTCAACCACCACATCTTGACTCCTAAATATTTCTACAGAGACAAAGTCAATAACTTTAATGGAGTAGATGTTGGCTAATAAAATTACAATCTGCGTTTGGAGAAAAAGGAAAAAAAAAATAAAGGAGGAAAAATTTTATTTTGTAATACTGAAAGTGTAATTAGGTACTACTAACTTTCAACATAAATGATCTCTTTTTTTCCCTTTCAACTAGAATTATAGACTCTTTATTTTGCAGGAAAAAAGGGCTAGATTGGGGAAGAAATACGAGCAATTTTAAAAAGTCCAAATTATAAGACACTTTAAAAGATGTGTAGTAATATTATTGGCGATATCGTTACTGTAGGGAATATGTACTAAAATATAGCTCAAGATTAATATTAAAAATGAATTAGGCTATTTAAATGTTCAGATCTATATTATATATTATTTCAAATTATTTCAAATGCCCAACTTACTTCACACTTTTAAATCTTGAATGACCCAAATGCTTATTAGTAATTATAAATTATGCATATTAATGAGATTTCACCATTAAAATATGACTAAGGAGGGTTATTAAAGTCCTTTATGAATTTCAATAACTGTACTCCAGAAGCACTGGCATATGTCCCAAATTGCACTGTGTCAAGCTGTCAAGCCAAGGAACACTCAATCTCAGTTTCTCCAAACAGAAAATACTGGAAGCTTTTGTAGTCTACCTCAAAGATGAGAAACTAAGATGCTTACTGTACTTATTAGACTTCTTTCTAACCTCTGCTATAATTTCTTCAAGAAAAATAACAGCAATGATGAGAAAATAGGCCCTTCATTTGTCCAACTTTCTTTTTTTTCTTGAGGATGTCTCCGCACTAAAGTTCTCATTCTCAAAAAAGGATTAAAAGACGGACACACAACAAGGCATCAAAGCATTCTTTAGAAGGCCCAGGACCCACTATGGTTACTGCCAGGAAATCATTCCAAACAGTCATTTTGAAAAAGGCAGCAGTCACAAGGGGAAAGGAAGTGGGCGCTGGTAGAGGGGGCAGGTGTGTTTGGAGGCCAGCAGTGTTTTGTTTTTAATGAGGCACAGTTGCAGGTCTCCAAATGTGTGCCACAAGGGAACAAGACATATGAGGGCTTCTTAATTCTTTTATAAGCATCACCTTGAAGGAAAAGAGCATTTAGATGTAGGTTTGGCACTTCTTTTAGGTAGAAAGGCTTAAGGGGTTAGAATGCTTAAAAAGAATAATTCAAGTATTCCAGTTTAAAGAATAAAATATTAAAAATAAACCCCACAAACAATTAGATAAAGTGGGGGAAAAGTACAACTGGATGCCATGTTTCTTTCTTTTGGAGGGAGGAGGGATGGGAAAAGAGCTACATTCTTGCTTCTTCCTTACTCTTTTGTATAATGTTGCAGGTATCTCTCTCTTTTAATAGTTTCCTTTTCACTCGTTACATAAAAGCAGAAGTGTCAGAAAGAATAGTCTCTTCTGGTATCTTCCCGGAGTCCTCCAAGCAAAATGGAAAGGAAGGAGGGAAAAAATAACGTGTGTCAGTCCTGTGGTGTCCTACTGAAAGAGGGCAGCAGTGTTTGGACACAAAAAGCCTTAATATGCTCCCTGCAACTATGAATCAGCTAATGCTAAAAAGTGTCGAGGTTTCATCTGCTTTACACCAGACCCACAAGCTGCACACTTGAGAATGCTCTGCTCACCTTCAAAATAAACTGTTTCATCCGAATCCCTCGACAATCGTGGGACCAGCAAGACAAAAGTCAAAAGCAACCTCAAACTACCTTTGGCTACTCGAGAATAAGATGATTGAGAGTAAGATGATCGGTAACCCCCTCTTACCAACGATCAGGATGAACCTCAAAAGAGTTGTGTGTACAAATCATAGACCGACCCACATCGTGTGTGCGCCCCTGTACCTTTGGATGTAGGATGTGGACACACAGGTGAAGTCTTTCGAGTTTCGTGAACTCCTGGCAAAGGGGTGGGAGGGAGAGGGAAACAAAGTCGCTCCGTTTTGATTTTCCGAGGTCACTTCTGGGACTCGCCCGGGAGCGCGCTCCGGTAGCGGAAAGCGGGCCCCGCGGCGGCCGACAGAGGTCCGGCCGCGACCTCGCTCTGTCCCCTCCTGCGAGGGGCGCGCGGGCCGGGACCCGCCGCCCGAAGTCAGATCGAGGCTCGGCTCCGCCTCCCTCCGCCCGCCCGCCCGCCCCCGACGACCCCCGGAGGTGGCGGGGGCACCGCCCGCGCGCCACTCACATGTGCGGGTTCCTCCTGAAGGCGTTGGTGATGTCCTTCACCACCCGCTGCACCAGCACGGCCACCTCCTCGCTAGTCTCGGCCATGTTGGCGGCGGCCGCGGCAGCCCAAGCGCGCCTCCGGGAGAGCGCCGAACCGCCGGCGGGAGTTCCGCGGGGAGCGCGCGCGTGTGCGCCGGTGTGGCCGCGCCCCCGCCCCCGCCGCCGAGCCGGCCGCCGAGCACTTCCGGGTCAGCTCGCTGGCAACTGGGGCGTCGTGCCCGCTGAAGCTAGGGCGGTTTGGTTGGTCCCCGACTTCCACTGGGGGGGTATGGTAACCGAATTTCTTAGTGTCTGAGAAGATGCTGTGGGTTCAGTTGGAAAGTTGCCTCAGGTGGCTGTGTTAAACATTTTAATTTCTAGTCTAATTCTAGGAAGAAAGGGTCCTCAAGTCACTCCCCGAGAGTCAGAGACCGGCCTGAACCCCCTGGTGATGCGGGGTCGGTGAGCCGAGGAGTGGAAAGAAAGATCTTCTTGGACTCTCAAGGTCTAGCAGTAGTGCTCTTTTATTTAGAGAATAGTATGGAATAGCATGGAGACAGGACCCATGGGCAGTAAAGAGTTGCTGCATGGGGACAGGATCCACGGGCAGTAAAGAGCTGCTGCATGGGGACAGGACCCATGGGTGGTGAAGAGCTGCTGCCGCTGCCCCAAGTTGAGGGTTAGGGCTAAATTTATAAGGCACAGGTACGTGACTTATTTTTACTGGAAAAAGAAAAGATGATGTAAAAAGTCATTAAATGATTTCAGTGCAGATGGGGTCTGGTCATTGTGCGGTCGTGTAACTTTAGATAGGAATCTGGTCATGTAGATCAGCGTGTAGGTGAGGATGCCCTGGGCTTCTCTCCCTGGGGCAGCCCTAATTCATACCGTAAAAATCCACCAGGTCATATAGGTCGGCATGTAGGCCAGGTCACCTTGGGCTTCTCTACCTGGGACAGCCTTAATCCACATCACTGGCACCCCATGCTCAGCTGTTCAGGGAACCTGCCAGGTCCACGGGAGCTTCGGGAGGAAAGTCTCACTGAGAGTGCTGGTCTTCTTGAGTCGCTAGTGCCGTGGCGCTTTGAGAGCTGGTTCGCCTTATTTTTCTAGCTGGAGGGATAAGTTGGTCCAGAGATGCTGGTGGCGGAGTGAGTGCCCATTGGACCGTGTTGGTGACCTCCTTTTGGACCTGCCTGCCAATTTCGGCCTTTGAGCGGCCGTTTTCAAGAAATTAATTTTAAAAATGTAATTGATGCATTAAAGGAAGGAAAAAGAAGGTAAAGGAAAAGTTATTTGCCCCTCGGATATAAAGAGTAGAAGTAGAGAAATCTTTTTTAGATTTTCTACTTTGAGTCTACTTTGTACATCATTTGGTGTCCTTTGAACGTTGTGTGTCAGTTTTGGACTTAAAAAAGCAAGGCCCTGACGAGGTTTGCTCTGAATAGCGATTTACTTTGCTACAAATAATTTTGGTAAGAAAAACTTGCTTTCTAGTCCATTTGGATTTTGAAATACCATAATTCAGATTTTCATACATCAGATTTTCCTTCAACTTTCTGTGAGAGAAAAATCTGGATGCCTTTGGTTCAGTTCTTTTTACTTAACCCTTGAAATTTGTATCTTTTAAAAACTTTTATAAGCAAGCTCATAGTGTGAACATATGTGCAGCATCTGAATTAGGGTTGATGATTGTGAAAGTAAAAACCATCCATTGGATACCAAATTATAAAGCATTGAATGAGAAATATAAATTATGTCCAGTGGTCGATACTCTGTGGGTATGTTTATAGAGGCTAGACCTGCTGTATGGACATTGGCTTTCTGGTTTTCAAAGAAACAAGCTGAAAGTTTCACAAAATTGTAGAAAAGCAAGATGGGACAGATTTGAATTAGTAAAATCAAACAAACCTTAACCTCTTAACAAGATGTCAGGTGAGGCAGTGAAGTGAGTGAAGGTGTGTTTCCATCCTAAGGCCAAGAACAACTTCAAATATCCTAGTTACTCTAAGAATGTGATACCAATTCTCAAATGATTTGAGTTAACCAAGTCTTCTTCCCACTTAATCAAAGCCTTACATCCTTTCCTAATAAAGTGGGAAATAAATCCTGACTTTAGGAGGCAGCGCTCAAAGCAGCACACTCAGAAGTACAAAATTTTTTTCAAAGATTCTATTTTTAGTCTGAAAAATTAGTGTGATTTTTGTATTTCACCCTATATATTTAACAGGAGAAAACCAAATTTTGTCCCTAAAGCCTGAAGTAAAATGGATATTCCAGAAAGATAATTCTATATGATTCTGTGTATGCCCTCCCCACATATACACACATACATACACACGCCCTGTTTGTACTCATTTGAAGGGCATGGGTCTCATAGGTCCCATGTTTCTTCTAAAAATACACCAATTGTTTCACCCAATCATTAAGGATCTACTATGTTTAGAATTTGGATTTTTTGAATTGAAGCATATTAGAACTCTGATCCAACCCCTACTTTTGCAGATAAGGCAACTGGGGTTCAAAGAAGTTAGGGAATTGAAATTCATGAGACTTTAATAATAATATGTATATGAGAATAGGATATGATAAATTTAGCATGATTTTGCTGAAAGACTCAAAGATTTATGTTCAGGGATCTGCAAAATACATTTACTGATAATAATGAAATATTGTAAATCGCTTAAATGCCCAACGTTGGGGATTGATTAAATTACAGTAAATCTATGTGATGAAATACTATTTAGTCATTTAAAAGCACATTATAATTAGAATATATACCAAACTCCTAGAGAGAGGTATATTTATAGGAGAATTTTACTTTCTAAGTAACACAAAGAACAAAATACATTTTTTGTAATTTAAGAAAAGTTTTTAGGAGTATATGTTAATAAAGACATAGATATATTTGTTCACTAGCCAACTATCTCTTATGCATATTAATTTTCTTAGAGATGTACTGATTTTTAAGACCATGCCTCTAGTTATTGTTCACATGGCCATGAATGTATTTTGGCAATCCTCCTACACCCCCCAAAAATCATGCTTTTCATATTTTAGAAGATAATTTGATGGCAGGGGAAAAAGTAGATATGTAGTGACAAAAACAAGTACAAAAACAGCACACAAGACAGTCCTAATTTTGTATATACAAAATGAATTGTAAATAACATAATCATATATATAATAGGTTTGGAGGATATAAACTGAGATGTTAACAATAGTTATCTCTGTATGATAGAATTACTGGAGATAATTAAGATGTATAAATATACATTGTTTATACTCTTCTGTATGTTCCAAACTTTCTACAGTAAAAACCTGGTGTATGTGTTGAGGGCTCTGGTAGGAAGGAAGACACCAAGGTGGTTTTAATGAAAGGCTGAGTAATTACTGTTGTGAAGAATTGGAGATGACCTTATAATCTGTTTCTGTCTTTGCTCTGTATTATTCTACTTAAATCACTATGTGTTGTTTGTTTACTCTGTTTATTTGGATTTGAAGTCCATTTTCTCGTGACATTGTGCAAGATAGAGTGCAAATAGTACTAAACACGTTCCTACTGTGTGCTGAGGATTATTACAAAAAAACAAGCTTATTACCCCCATTAAAAAAGTAAACACTTGGCAGCTGGCCTGGTGGTGTAGTGTTTAAGTTTGCGCCCTGCTTGGGCAGCCCTGGGGTTTACAGATTCAGATCCCCCTCATGGACTTACACACCCCTCATCAAGCCATGCTCTGGCAGCATCCCACATACAAAACAAAGGAAGATTGGCACAGATGTTAACTCAGTGACAATCTTCCTCAAGCAAAAAGAAGAAGATTGGCAACAGATGTTAGGTCAGGGCCAATCTTCCTCATCAAAAAAAAAAAAAGGTATAAGTGCTCAATTTTAAATCCTTCATTATAATATTACCATTATGGCTAACTATCTACTTACAGTATGCCAAACCTCAACCTTATCACTATCCTAAAATTTAAAATCCAAGAACTTACTAACAAAGAAATAGAAGAAGGGAAATATAATACCATCAAGCCACAATATCAATATCTTCTTATGAATTCTTAAGAATAGTCAATAGGAGTGATGTCATCTTTAAAGTTTTTATTAAAGACCATTTTAAGAAAAGGAATAAAAATTAATACATGAATTTAAAAAGACAATTGTACATTAAACTTAAGAAAGTTTTGGTATGCCCTTTGCCTGAGTGTGTGGGTTTATTTTCCCAAATAGAAAACTTCATATATAATCAAGAACTATCTTCTTAAAGAGTCACAAGAACACCTATGAATGTGAATGCCATCTATTCTTATATTTAGTTGATATCTCTAGCACTTCATTATTCTAATTGTTGAGATAAAGATGAGAAAATGTGTGTGATAGCATCTTTAAACTGAAGCACTCTACAAATGATTATTTATTTCTATGAATAAAAAAAGCATCATTATGAGTAAATCATTATTAAAACACAATAGTAAACTAAGCTAAATACTAACTTTCAACATGAAACTCTATGGTTTAACATTTCTAAAGAGAATTATTATACAGCAATTACAATTAATCTCCTACATAAAACATGAACTTTTTTTAACCTGACAAGGTAGGCAAATGTTATCAAAATAATAATCATGAAGATAACTTTAAATGACCTGTTAATACTGATGTTAGAATCCATGAGGATACAAGAAAGAGGTACTCATTGCATAACATGGTTTTTGTTGCTGAGTATGTGATGCCTTCTTTTTCTTGACATTTGCTATTTTCAAAATGTCACTCGTCTCCTTTGCCCTCTTCTTTCTTCCTACCACAGAGGCCCAGGAGACTCATGGTGTAACGTTTAGAAAAGAACAGGAGAAAATGTCTGGAGAGAAAAAGAGCCAATCCTAGGCCTGTGTGGAAACAGCTAGAGAGATGGGTATGTCTCTATGATGCAATGAATGTTTCTCACGCACTGAAGATGTCGAATTGTTGTAGGAATTTTGTTAGTACTGTGCCTTTTAATGTATGACTAAATGAAAGAAGTACTCAAATATGAGTACATTCTTAGGGGGTTTTTTTCTGCTTTATGTTTTAATTATTCTTCAGTGTAAATATGACAATAATGAAAACCATAGATTTAGATTAAAAAAAATCATAACTGAAAATTTAGAAAGCTTGTAAAAGCCTCACTTTGACTACAGGAGGGGTTCGGTCTGAGAATTCTTCAGTAACTGCCTAAAAGTAAGACAGGGCAACACCTGCTCTTCTTTATCTCACTTCTTAAATTAATTTTTCAACTCAGAATCTTGTAATAAAAAGAAACCTTATTTCTCAGTTTCTTCCTGTTTCTGTGTTTTAAGCCACCTCTGAGAATCATTAGAATTATTAATATTAGGACAAAGTCACCCATAGAAAATGATGAACTTCGTTAAATGTTGAATTATGCTCTGATTTGCAGTGTAGTATTTATAGAGACAGATAGTCTGAGTTTTAGGAAGGAATGCCAAAGGGTAACTCCTAGTTAATGTCTTCTGACTTCAGGCACTTTAATTTCTCTGGTGAGCCTCCCAAGTCACCATCAGTGTGCAAAAAAGTGCCAAAGTTAGTGCATTGTGTTTATAGGAAGAGAAGGCTAAATAGCATGCCTGAGAGTATGAGACTCCAACCAATTGTACTTACTTATTCCACAAATTTTAATGAGTGTTACTGTGTATAAGACATTGGGCTAGCTGCTGGTGTACAATGGTGAGAAAAACAGACAGTGTTCTTGCCTTCCTGTGGGACTTACAGTCTGATGGAAGAGATACACAATATTCAAGTAAACAGACAAATCTATAATGAAAAATTGTAACACATGACACAAAAGTAAAAGCAAGATACGATGAAAGATGATAACAGTGTGGGAAGAAGGGCAAAATTTTAGACGGTGTGGTCAGGGAGGCCTGTTCCGGGTGGTGATATTTAAGATGAGGCTTGAAAGATGAGAAGGAACCAGCCCTGTGAAAAGCAGAAGAGCCTCACCTGTAGTGGAAACAGTATGTGTGAAGGCCTTAAGAAGAAAAGAGCTTACATAGCATGTCTCAGGAATTGAAAGAAGGCCAAACTAATAACTTCTACTGACCTGACGGTGTTTGTAAAGTGATTTCAGATTCAATACTGCTGTTGTCTGAATGTCTACTATGAGCGTGATTGCCTAGCTCCAATTTTTCTTCCTTTCTGTATCTTCTGTTTTTTGTAGTGCTACACTGAATGGCTCACCATGGACAGCTCATGTCACACGGTTGTGTGGTATCCCATGATCAGGTGTTTAGTCCTAAGAGCCCAGTAGCAAGCCTAGAACTGTTTTCCCAAAAGGATAATATTTATCAAAAGAGGAGGATGATAGTCTTTCTTTCAAAGCCCTAAGGTTATTGCTATTACATTTTTTTAAAATTTGCTACCCTTGGGTCTTCTGGGTCATGTGGCCCAAGATCAGCTTGCATGGAAGCTCTGGGATCCATTCAAAACTGAGTTGTTCAGTAAATTACTTAAACTAAAACATTCAAATAGAGTGTATGTTGCCTCCTGAATCCCGAGTGGCCTGAATGTCTCTTTCTCAGTGGTAGAGTGTACAAGATGAAGCAACTTGCCGTTCATCTTGGTAGAAATATTGTGACATGTCCCAGACTACTGGACTCTTAGAAGCTTCGCCATGCTCATAGACCCTTTAATATTTTAAGGGTTTATCTTCCATCCTCTGTCCTGTATGTGTTTTACCAAGACACGTAGAGTATTTGGTACTTACTACACATGAAGTCAAATACCTCCAAAGGAAAAAAGCAGTAAAACTCTTGTTATACACTTATAGACTCCGGTATTTTCTCTTTGTAGTATGTATCAAATGTAATTAAGAGTTGTGCAACTAGTTCAACGTCTTTATCCTTCTATAGAATGTAAACTCCACAAGAGCTGGAACCCTATTCTTCATGTACAGTGCTGTGTCCCTGTACCTTCCTTGCATATAGTGGATTCGCAATTAATACTAAAATGGATAAATGGATGGAAGGAAAGGATGGGTGAAAATAGGAAAGAATAGAATAGCCAACATGTAATATAGATGTAATGAAGAAACAGTAGAGGAAGTCATGTAGGAATTTAGTCAGAGGCTTAATCATGAGGAAACTTGAGGCCATATTTTTGCAGTTGAAATTTTTCTAACACATTGCAGGGAGCCATTGAAGGAGTTTGTGCTTCTTTGTTGAAATCCATTATTCTGCAAGGGTGCTCTCATTACTTTATCCTTTGTTTAGTTATACATACATACGTAAATGAGCACACACATACACACTTTTGAGTTTTATTACATAACAGGAGAATCCATTTCATTTTTAGTTTTGTTTTCCCAGCATCTGGCATATTACCTGAATATAGTAAGCACTTCAACATTTGTCAAATGAGCAAATAAAGGCCCAATTAAAATGCTGCCTCAACCACGAAGTCTTTCGTGATCACCCTAGCTAGAAATGCTCTTCTATATTCTTGAACTCCACTGGACTCTGTGTAGTGTTTGCTTGGTACTTTTCATATATTGCCTTGTTTTACGGTTATTTATGTATATCTTTTACTAAGTTGGAAGGGGTTGTAACTTGACTTTTGTATCTCAACAACATAGTATCAGCTTCTTATATGAGGCAGACTTTAAGTTTATATTTATTGAATGGAAAAAAGAAAAAATATATTTACTCTTTTGTTGTTAATGTAATGGATAGCAAAGACTTATGCAATGAGAATCATAATTCTTAAAATCTATCATTCAGTTGTTATAATTTCCATACATGTATTTTATTCTATAATTTGATATTATTTTCACAAATTGAATGGGTGTGGACAGTACAGGAAAGCTTTTGTTGTGGAAAAAGTTATAAATCATGTAAGTCTTTTTTAAAACCACTTTTTAATTGAGATATTCCCATACCATAAAGTTTACCCTTTTAAAGTGTAAAATTTAGTGGTTTTTAGTATATTCACAAGGTTATGCAACCATCACCACTAATTAATTCCATGACATTTTCATCAACTGCTACTGAATCTGGTTCTAAGGATAGCTTTGTCATTTCAGACCTTTTTTTTTTTTTTTTTTCTCCTTTTAGCATGGCTTGTAATCTTTTGTTGAAAAAGGGACATGGTATACGGGATAGTAGAAACCAAAGTAAATAGGCATATGGTAAGAGGTTTTATGTTAATCTTGTTAGGAGCTGGGCTGTGTTTGATGTTTACTGTAGCTGTAGGTGCCACAGGATTCATTTTCTGTACTTGTATTTTTTTCTCCCCTGTTGTCTTAGGTTTCTCTAAGAATTTCTTCTTAAATAGAATCTGTGTCTTGCCACTCTTTCAGTTGCAACCCACTGTTACTATACTGAGTCCTATTGGTGTGATAAAGTATTGCGGGAGAGGAATTGTTCTATAATTTTATGATTAACTCTCAGTCTTTTAGTGGGCCTGAGTCCTTGGGCTTGGACCTTCAGCAGTGCTTCCTAGCTTTTTTCTTTTCTCTTAAGTGAGATAGGGAGGAAAGATGGAGGGGCTGGAGTTGGCTAATTGCCTTTCCCTTGGTCATATAAGGTTCTGGTAACATGACTTCACCTGGAGCGTTGGCCCTGATTACAGAGAATGCTTTGGGTGTATTTCAGAATATTACTTAACCCCTCCCTCTGACTAAAATGGGAGGGCATTTTTTGGGGGTCATCACCTTGAGAACCTGGTGGGATTCCTTGAGGTAAAACCCATAAAAGTGTTTGGGTTCCCCTAAGATTGGAACCCCAAAGAGTTTCTCAATCTTGAGCGAGTCCACACTTAACCTACAGCAGTTTGTCAGAATTATCACCTCAGTGTTCAAAGCAGATTAGGGCTCCAGCATCTTTTGCTCCAGTAAGCTGATCTCAGCTGTGATTCTCTGTATTTGCCTGGCTCTCGAATTTCTGGGTGACAGTTTGCTCTGTGATTTCTGGGTGATTTTAGTTCTGTGATGAGTCTAAGAAAATTCATTTATTTTCAGTTTGTTTACTTTTTGTCTTGTTGTAAGACTGGGAATGAAGACTTCCAAACTCTTTACATGTTGGAGCTGACACTACAAGTTTCCCAAACTTTATTTTAAAGGGTTAAATAGGACATATTTTAGACTTTGCAGGTTGCATGGTCTCTGTTCCAATTACTCAGCTCTGCTGTTGTAGCATGAAAGCAGCCATAGGCAATACATAAATTAATGAGAATCTCTATATTGTTTTTCTATTATTTCATTTATTTCTTCTCTAATCTTTACTATTTCCTTCCTTCTGCTTACTTTGGGTTTAGTTGTCTCTATTTTTTCTAGTTTCTTAAGGTGGAAGGTGTTAAAAAACAAAATTCGACTGAGTACATTCGAAGATCTAGTTGGCTTTATTAAATGATTCCTGACTCAGGCAGTATCTCATCTGACCAGCTGAGAGACAATCAGAGGGGTTACACCACATAGAATGCTTCTATAGTAAGGAGAGTGGGACAAGGAAAGGAAGTCATCAGCAAGGAAAAATGAAAGTTCATTGGAGGAAAGTAAAAGTTTAGGTGAGGACATCTTCTCATTGGCTGAGCTGCAGCATCTCTCATTGGCTAGGCTTGTTGCTGGACAAGAAGGAATTCTTCCTTCCTCCTGCTGGAGCAGTTAACTGGTTACACTTCCTGTTTGGGAGTGCAAAGTAGTCTCTTCCTATTAGGGTCTGTAACTGACTCTGTAATTAACTGACACTGTAGTTGACATCTTCCTCTTTGGGGTAGTTGACATCTTTCTGTTGGGGGTGATTGATAGCTCCCTTTTTTGGGGTAATTGACAACAAGTGGTAGGGTGTGAGAGTTCTGTCTACAGGCCTTCCTGACTCCAATTTTAGTTGAGGTTTCTTTATTAATTTTAACAAAGATTATGTT